ATTATGACCTTCGTGTGTCTATCTATTTATAAAGTATATGATTTTCAAAGTTACTATTTTCTCACATCATCCATATTGAAGTTTTATGAACAATCATTTTATTATTTTTATAATATTCGATTCTAAACTTTGAATTACACTTATTTATAAAATATTTATAATATAGAGGGTAGGAGTTTTAGTTTACCGTTAATTTTGATACCTTTGAGTTACCTGTCTAAAGTGGGAAAATGATTAGAAATATAAAAAAAAGATAAAGGTAGAACAATCGTTATTTAATGGGCGGCTAAAAAAGAGGGAAATCATTTAGTTTTTTTTTCCCGTAGAGGGGAGAGAGAAAATGTCACCATAGAGAAAATTGCAGGATAGAAAAACGGTTTTTCCCCATATTTTATGGGAGTTGTTGACGTTGGGTAGGATTTTGTTTAGTGAGAGAACGAATTGTGATTGGTTGAATGAAGATGCTGACGTGGATGAATAAGGAAACAGTAAATTTGAAATGGAAAGGTCGTTTACGGGAAAGTGTATAATATATTCTTTAGATGTTTTGTTATCTACATTTTATTAGATTTTCGTACCTACAATTTTTTAAATTTACATATTGGTCCAATGTTTAGATTTCACTTGAATCCATGAATTCAATCCACCAATCATTTTGAACCAATCCATGAATCCAATCCACCATAGTATAAAAGTATAAATATAGTTTGTACAATACAAGATGTTGTATCACTCAACTGTAGAATAAGATTCAACCATTTATATTTGCTCATTACGTGAAACATTAAATAAATAATAAAAGAGAGACGACCATAAAATATTGCAAGAACGAATATATAAACTCAATCAGTACATTTACGGTGTACTAAACAAACTACTACTAACTACATGTAACAAAATATGCGACATCTACATAAGCAAGTGTCAATAAACTGCTACGGTGAAAAGGGTTGACTGTTGTATTGACGGCCAACTAAAAGAATTGGTCAAAAGCTTTCCATCATCTACTTCCTCTTCGTTTTATTTTTCACTCGCCTTCCATAACCCTTTCTTTGTTTCTTTCTTTGCCTTCTTCGTCTAACCCTAATTAGTACACTATTTTTGTATATTCTAATCACAAGTATGAATGGGTCCATAAATGACTCACCAACAGTCTAGAGAACTAATAATTGAACCATGAACCACTAACTTTTTCAGCTCAATATCGTGTCTAATTAATAATAAATATATATGGTTATTACTTATTAGAAAGTCGCAATTTTCCACTTTGCTTCTCTCTAAAGTTTTTCTTTTTCACCCAGACTAGAATTTTCAATAATTATACATGGAATATTTGGCTAGGTATCTACTAGGGGTGGGCATTGGGTGGGTCGGGTGGATTTTGACCATAAAATGCACCCACCCGCGCTTAAACGGATTGATAATTTTTAACCCACCACCCGCCCACATTTAGTCTCGGGTTGGGTCGGGCGGATGGTGGATGATGCGGGTGGGTTTGTGGGTTCACCCACATCACAATGTATATAATATAAAGGAGTCAACTTGACATGATAATAGGTGAAGATAATCATCGAGGGAAACAAGTAGTTGAAATAGGGCGAAAAATGCCGAATTAGTTTTTAAATTGGGTAGAAATTCTATTATGAAAGAGTTTTCTACAGATTGAGACGATTATTAGGTGCAAAGAACTAAGGAAAATAATTCCACAAAGGAAATAGCGGTGATCTAGGCACAAGAATTAGATGAAAAAGTAAAGGGAAGAAGAGGGGATCTCTATTTGGAAGGTTGGCTTTGAGGTTCAAACTCCTGGAGCAGTCCGAGTTTATATCTAACGTCTCCACTCTCCTCTCTCTAGCGCCAACGACTTTGATCTTTTTGCTGTTGGGTTGAGTGGGTCACCCGCACACTCACCCACAACCCACCCACCACCCGGCGGATGGGTTCCACCGCAACCCGTCACCCACCCACAAACCCACCCACTTAACGAAATTCGGGTCAAATGCGGGTGGGTCGACCCAAACTCGCGGATGATCCGCCCGCATGCCCAGCCCTAGTATCTACACATATAAAATAAATAGTTTCCATTTTTTTATAAAAAAGTAAATAATTCTCATATCAAATAATGCAAATTACAATTGTGTACCTAAACTTAATAGATCTTTATATTTATAAGCTAAATTTATTTTTTTGGCATATAAGTCCTCAAAATATTGATGGACATTATATTTTAGTACCTAAATTTTTTTTGTATTATATTGTGGTACCTCAACTTTTGAAGTTCTACAAATAGGTCTAATTTGTGTATGTGTAATTAAAACACTCTCGAATAAATGGATATCTATACCCAACTCATACACATTTAGATTATGGAAGTAAATATCCATACCCTACCCAAACCCATCTACGAATTTCCAAACCCACATATACGTCACCAATACCCTATCCATAATCACTGGGTTTACTTGGGTTTAGCTATATATAATTTACTAGCCAAAATTTTCAAAATTGGATGTTCACCGCCATATGTCTTGTCTCAGTCAAGATCATATTATCAAGTGAATATTACTAACAAAAAATAGGTTTAGACTAATAATACTAACAAAACATTATAACGGGCCACATAATACATGTCATTAGGCAATCTCAGCAGCGCGACTAGGCGAGGCATCACTACCTAATCTTGCTAATATATGAAGTTGAAAACCACTCTAGTTCCCATTTGGTTTGTTGTTATATGTTGGTGTTATATATCAAGTGGTGCATGTCGATTGGAACTACTGTTCTGTGGAATTTGTGTATTCAAATGGGTGCTTGGAGCAAGAATTTAGATTGATCAATGGGAGAAAAAGGGCTATCAAACATCATGGTTTTTTTATGGGCAATATAAAAAAAAAATATATTAATCACAATGCATCCCTCCTTTGAATATGGAGTAGAAGCACCTAGGCCATTACAAAGAGACTACATTCTGCAGTGCTACTAAACTGATACTCTCCCCTCTACCTGCTGCTACTGTTCTACTTCCTACTGATTACAAAAATACACTACTACAATCCGAATTAAGACACAAGTTGCCAACTCTTGCTAGTTCAATCATCTTCTAACCAATCTAACTACCTCACTACTCGTTTTAGTTTTCCCTTGGTGAATCCTCGAGTATCGTTCACGCCAAATCATGCTAACTGTAACATTCCAAACTAGCCTGCCCACCAGAGCAGCAACCTTGTTACCTGGACTGTCCAGGATAGGTATTCATCATAGTTTAAGAACCTTGGGCTGGATACCTGAAGCATTTAATTTGCATACACCCTTGCAGCACACTGAATGAGTAGGGACATAGGAAAAATAAGTGACTTCTAGTTTCTTGTCGAGCAGAGCAAAGCTGGCAGGTATCATCTCCAACTTTCCCCAAGACTTTAGCTTGTCCTTAACCTATCTGTCACCACTAGCCAACTGAGAAAGCTATGCCGGGGAATCGACAAACATCATGGTTTGTTGTTAGTTACCTAATACTTAACAGGGAGACATCACTAAGCCTTTTGCCATTTGTTGCAAGTTTTTTAGACATTTCTTATATGCTACTTCTTGTTTCCGTTAGAGTGCTCATTGCTCGTTTCCATCAGTACAAGCATCTGCTTGTTTCCTTCAAAAAAATCGCAGCTTACTATAAACAATCATTGTTGATTGAATGCAGGAAGAATACTTATGGAGTTGTGGTCAGGACGTCAAAGCTAGGAGAAGGATATAAGAGAGGTTCTTGCGATTTAAGGGTAAAGTATCTTTCTTCTCTTCCCGAAAAGTGTTGTACTATCTACTTTCTACTTTTTTTAATGCATCTATTTAAACACTTCACATAATTAGAATCCACAAACTCATAGAAGGCATCAATTTAATCAATCTTAACATCCAAACGAATACACACAAGTTCCACACTGTCTATGATAGTATAATGTAGCAGTTAGTAGAGCAATATGAAAGGAGGACCAATCATTATTCGCATGATAAGACGTTATTAGAATTAGATAAGGAATGCTACACGTAGGTTTTGTAAACCAAGAGCCGCATGCAGAAATCAATCCCATGAAAATGTTCGAAATGAAAAACAAGGATGTAAACTGGAGTAGCAGTAACCAAACAGAGCCTAGCTAAAGATTCGGAGCCATAGAAAACAGTTTCTCCAGCAGCAGCAAGGCTTTCAATGTTTCAACCCTATTGACAACATGAACGTTTCAGATTTCTGTGCTACATTTCCAACAGAAAAAAGATAAAGCTGAGGATTTAATCTGTAAATTTGAATATCACAATAAGCCTCGCCGATCGGAGAAATTTGCCACGTTTCATTGAAAAGGACTACCATTAGCTGAATACAATATGAGCGTTGAATTCAATCAACTGCATGAAGTTGGGAGACAATCTCACTGCTTTTCTTCATACCAGATCTGTAAATTGTTTACTTCAGGGTCACCAACGCCATACAAAACTGTGAAATGCTAACTAACTAGTCCAATCCCCCCTGCAAGAACCATGAAATTTCTGCCGCTTATTGCATTATCACCTCTCCCATAGACTGAAATCCAAAGTTTCTGAGACACAGAAATCTAACCACTAGTCAACATGGAAGAAATGGGAAACCAGAAACCATTCTGACTTCTGCAACAGCTAGTCTTTACAGTGCACTCAGTGTCTACAAAGGATGCATCCTCCCCACAAATTACTTAAACCAAAACCCTGCTGCCATATTCATCGATCAGAACTGGAGTACTATTGCCCTGCTACTGATTCTTTCGTCTAATGATCCAACACAAGGCAAACTACACAGAAAGAGAAGGAAAAGGGAAGATATGCCAACCTAGGTCACCTTTGTCGGCCAATCTGTGTACAGAATGCCTAACCTCAAAGGGGACTCCAAATCTCCTTTCCGTTTCGACAGCTCTCTTGAATGAGATGCCGTTTATCTCAATATTGGGTGTTGGCCAAAAGAAATGGAAGGAAAAGCTGTTCTAGGCACTTGGCTCCAAAGTAGTGATCTTCTGGAAATTGATCTCTAGTTCAGGGATGTGAGCAATCTTGGGCCAATCTTCTCCATCATCCGGTCGACATCTTTGCTCCAACAAAGGACACCAAGAAACGTACAGGTGAGAAAGATTTAACGGAAACCCTTCTTCTGGCAAGCATTTGAGATTAGGGCAGTTACATATCTGCAATTCTCTGAGAGAGTGAAGGTTTTGAAGCCCTTCCCAATCTAGTGATGTCAGGCTTGGAAAATCCCAGATCTTAAGAATGGTAAGAGTGGAGGGCAGCAACCTCTTCCCTGGGAAAGATTCCACGCCCAAGCATCCCATTAACAGAAGCCTAGTCAAATTTGGTGCAGGCATTGTTTCTTGGAGTGAAGAAAACAACTTCGGGCATTCCCTAATTTCCAAGCAAGTCAGACAAGGGAAATTGCTACCAGTCACCTCAGATGCTGAAAGTGTTTCAAGGTTTAGACATCTAGTGAGTATTAGTGCCTTTAGGCCGGGAAACAACTCCAAGGGGAAGCTCCTTAGCGAACTGCAGTTTCTTATTTCGATTCTTTCCATCGTAGAAGAGAACCCTCCCATCTGTTCCATTGCCTCTAGTAGGGTATCAACTGAATTGAATCTGTCAATCATTAAAGTGTGCCGCTCCGAAGGCAATTTCACAAGCTGAACATCGCGAGTGTCATCCTTGAACTTAATCTTACAGATGTTTGGAGCTCTTGGCAATGATACTCCAAGCTGCTGACATCCTTCTACCTCAAGCAGTGATAAAGAAGGAAGGTGACTAGGAAGGGCTTTCTTCAGATTGGGGCAATGTCTGAAGTAGAGCTTTTCAAGAACTGGGAAAGCTTCTCCGTCAAATGGAATCCACTCACACCATGACAACATGCTTTCAAATCTCAAGCTTTTGAGGGACCCAAATGGCTTCCATTTGGATGTGCAACTCCCGTAGAACTCATAACCAATAGTCTCAACGCTGACGTATGCTGCGATTGAGAGGTCGCTTAGAGACACTAATTGCCCCAAGGGAGGAAGGGTGTTGCAGTGCTGGCCTCCACTGAGTTTCAGTGCCACTATACTTGAGAAAGCAGAATTGCCAACCCAATCGGGAAACCTTGTGCCCCTGTAGCCTACAATTGATAGTGACTGGATATTTGTATGGGGCTGTAATTGCTCGAGTACAGTCCTTTCATGCACTGAATCATGAGTGTCTCCATCCCACATGAAGTTCAGCTGTTTTAGGTACTTCTTAACCTTCAAATTGGCTTCCAAAGCATCTTGTGCTTCCATCACATGTTGAAGTTTCCAAACATTAAGTTGACCACCAAGATGCTGAAGCCCACCGAGCATTTTAATGCAAGATCCGTTTCCTCTTCCTATAATGAAATCTGTCAATACATGCAGCTTTGTCAATTTATCCATCTGCAATGGCATCACCTGCAAATTGGTTTCTCTGACATCAAGATGACGCAAATTGATTAACCTTCCTAAGTTGTTTGGCAGCTGAACAAGCTCTCTGCACTGGTGCAAGATCAATGTCTGCATATTGTAAACGCCACAAAGTGTTGCGGGTAAATATTGAATCGCGGTGGCTGATAGATTCAGATATCTTAAATGCTTCAAGTGGCCGATTGAATCAGGTAACTCAGTTAGAGTGCGAAGGTGGGAAAGAGACAAAACCCGCAGTCGCTTACGTGTGAGCAACAAGTTGAAGGTAGCATCAGTGACAAAGTATGATGACCAATCGAAGAGCCAGAAAGTCCGCAGAAAACCTGCCTCATGGATACTTTCAAGCTTCTGAGCAAGATTGCATTCTGTTATTGCATATGACAAATGGCGAATTCTTCCATTGATCTTGCATGAATCTTCACAGTCTAATCTAAAGCAAAATTCACTGGACACGTATTTAGCCAAGTCATTGATAAGGTCATGCATCACATAACCAGTTGGATCCACGCTTGACCGTTGGAAAAATGACCTTGACACAAGATCATTAAAGTACTCATCACCCAACTCTTCCATCAGCTTATTTCCTCTCGACTGCTGCTCTATAAAGCCCTCAGCCATCCACAAATACACCAGCTCATCCTTTTCAAAATCATAATCCTTTGGAAATATGGCACAGTAAGCAAAACATCTTTTCAAATGTGATGGCAGGTAATGGTAACTCAAATATAGTGCTGGGAGAATTTCATCATTAGACAGATCCCACAAGTTGCTCTTACATATCCTCTCCCAGTCGACAGCATCCTTCTTTGAGCGCATGAGACCACCAAGTGTCTTTGCAGCCAAAGGGAGCCCTCTACACTTCCCCACTATCTCTTTACCAACAGGCTCCAAGTTCGGATGCAACGTGGCACTCCCACCACGAGAAGCATGTCTGACAAACAAGAACCAGGAATCATCACAACTCAACCCCTTTAAATTATATATAGGAACAGTCTGCATGATCGATGCTACACTTTCATTGCGTGTTGTGACCAAGACCACACTTCCTGGCACCCCAGTCATCAAAGGTCGTCTCAAGACATCCCAATCTGCGTATTTATCATTCCAAACATCATCCAGAACAATTAAAAACTTCTTCCCCTTTAATCTCCCCTTCAGCTCCAATTGAAGCTGATTGAAATTACCATCAAAAGTTCCACCCGTAACCTCCTCAAGGATATCCTTCGTTATCTTAGAGATGGAGGGTTCTTGTGAAACACAAACCCATGCTTTCACATTAAAGCAATCCTCTACTCTCCTATCGTTATACACAAGTTGAGCAAGGGTTGTTTTTCCAACACCACCCATACCCACGATGGGTATCACCCCAACGCCATTGCCATTCTCCAATAACAATTCCATTATAGCCTCTCGATCGGCATCCCTGCCATAGACACCACCAAATTCATCTACAAGAGAAGTACTGGGCAATTTACTAGATGATGGGTTTTCACGAACAAAACCACCTTCTCTCAAACCAAGACCATCCCTTTGATTCAGCAAATACTCGAGCCGCTCAAGAATCTCCCTCAGCTGAGCTTCTAATTCTATCTTGAAAGGATTAAGAGAGAAGAACAAATTCCTCACCTGATGTACACTAATTGAAGAATGATGCGACTCTAGCTCCGACCTCAGAGATTCATAAGCGACCTCGTCCAACAAATCATCAGCAACATAAACTGCATCTTTAAGCTCGTCCAGCCACAGCTTCACGGAGGGTTTTGTAATCTGCTTCTCCTCTGCATCATCCAGCACTCCACTGACATATATAAGCATCGTGTTGAGCTTCTGAAGCAACCCAACAGAGAGCTTTTGACCCCTGAAGAAATCAAGAACCTCTCGCGAAGCTATCCTGTCGAACAGAACTTGGAGGAAAGCCCCTAGAATTGAGCCTCCCACCATCATTGCAGCCATGTATGAAAAATGGATGTCTGAGCTTCTTGGGCTGGCTTCTTGTAGCGAAAGGTTTTGGGTCTTTTAGGAAGGGAATGAAGGAAAGAAGCTAAACTTCACGAGGAAGAAAAAATAGGGGTATTTATTTGCCTTGCCTCGCGGTCTAGCATTTGATTCTCATGATAAATTTTGGAATAACACGACGCCGGAAAACCTTTATGGAATAGTTTCAATACAAAATGGTTGTCATTCCGGAATAAAAGATTTAATGTTTCATGTGATAAAAGGTATGAATGGCTGGTATGATACTTATGAGATCAATGAGATTGATATTTCAAAATTGCTTCTTAGAACGTATTGATTTGACAAGTTAGTGAGTGAATTATGCCCAATTTTGACGGTAGATTCTCAGCTGGCACTGCGTCTCGTTAAAACATAAAAAGTTGTAATTGAACCGATAAGTATAATATTATAATTAACTCGATTCTAACTACACCCACAACTTAAGGCCAAGTGGAACCTTCGATTAGGGTAGTATAGAGTAAGTTCTTTTTGAATTATCAAATTCAAGCGGTTTATGTATCATTACTTTAGCAAACCACAAATTATCTAGTGATAGAAACATTGTTTTGCCCTACTGAACTAAATAAACAAGTTATGTTCATTCATCCTGCAGATTATTGTCAGTGGTTAGCACGTGTCAACAACTACCCCATCTTAGGCCAAGTTTAACCTAAAATAGCGTTGTCGTATAGTGGCAATCAAGGTCGTATTCACTCGGCTCCTGGTACCCTAGCCTACTTCCCACTTTGTTGTTATCTAGCCGATCGGTTTAAGGGTTTTGTGTGGAGGATATGAGTGAACTAACTAGTCTAGTGATAAAATAAAGATTAAACAGGTACTTCGGGGAAATATCCCTCACCCTACACTAGGACTACTCTGCAATGTCTAGATACTTGGTGTTTATCGAATGTGGTGAGTGAGCTCTTTTCCGTGGACTTTCGTGGTCATCCACACGCCTCCGAGTACGCCTCCCCGAAACCCATGTAAGGCCACCTCGATCTAGGCTATCGTATCTAGGGCATTAAGCTCATATCTCCTTTCAATGGGTACTACCCACCATCCACACTGAGGTTTCATCCCAACTTCTATATAGGAAGACATTCCTATGGTAGGGGTTCAGTCTCCTTGACCACCATAGGATCCTATTCATACATCTAACCTCAATTTGCTTGATGGCGCATACCCGTCTAACCTTAAAACTCCATACCAGCGTAGAAGCTCAAGTAGACTAGTAGAGAAGATTAGGGTGACTTACCCAATTACAATCAAATATAGAATAGCATGCAAATCAACTAGATAAATACATTCATTCATTCATTCATTAAAATCCTAAAATATTCAAACATACATAGTAACCTTAAAACTAGCGTTTGGGGTTTAGAACCCCCAGTACATTAGAGGACTACTCCATAAAGGAGGGAAGAAGATACATAGAAGAGGTGGAAGAAGACTTGATGTTGAGGAAGATGGCTCCTTTCTTCTAGCTCCTTCTCTTTCTTCTTCTCTTCTCCTTCCTTCAGCTTCTCTCTCTTCTCTCTCTCTCAAATCAGTAATTCTATCTTAAAATCAAGCTCACTTGAATGGGTGAAAGAGGTCTTCTATTTATAGGCATCAGAGGACGGAGGAGTTCGCGGGCAGGAAGCGCAGAGATCGCGGGCTCGATCTTCTTCATGGAGGTCGCGATCTCGCGACACTGCCATTTTGGCCTTCGGGGACGAGGAGTTAGCAGCCTCATTTCGCGGTCACGATCCACGAGTCATGGGCGCGAACTTTCTCACGGTCAGTTTGCACTTTGGCCGTGTTCTACCTGGGGGAAACTCTATGTTTCTCCCCGACTGCTTCTTCACGAAGTTCACGCCCTGAGCCCTCCAATTAACGACCGCGATCTTCAGCTTGACTTCGCAGGCAAGGTTCTCGGTCGTTATCTCTATCTCCATACCACTATCTTCGGTTTTCTGCCCCTTTTGGTACACTTGTGACCTTAATATGTACCTAATTCGCATGTATTTTTTAAAGAAACCTAAAATCACATTGAAATCAAATAGGAACAAAATAGGATGCAATTGACGCTGTTCAAACAATTATGCACATGAATTGTCATGAAACACACCTAAATATGAAAGGTCGTTGCTAGTGTCCTTGATTGTAGGAAAGGTTCTAGTGAAACCATGGAACCTTTGGTTTTAGGTTGACTATATAGGACCTCATGTTATGTTTCCCACCACCCAAAAGGCCTTTTCCCCATGTCCAAGACAATTGCCAGTCATTTGAACTCGTGTCTATGACCTCCAGACAAGCTAATGATGACACCATTCTGTGAACTCTAGCGTTTAGAGGTTGCCGCCGTGGTGAAGAGACGATAGGTCTGAGTGTTGATGGTTGTGCATATCTTTTGCACCAAATGGTCATGACCTCACTGGTCGAGAGTGAGTGATTCACTCATGTTTTGCATGTTAATATCTTACCCCGGTCAGGACCTATGTTGCCCATTCGTTTGTGCCTTGGAATTGAACTCTATGCACAGTTAGTTGTGGTTCGTGAGTAGTCTTGTCGAGACTTATGTTGGTTTGTGAACAGGGTGAGAAATTTTCATTTGCACATTCTTGATACATTCGAATGTCGTTTGTGGTGGATGTCGGTATTGCTTGTATCGATTCATGTGTTGATTGCGAATAGCGATTGAGATTCGCCGTTTTGAGCCCTTTGATATGTTCTCAATTTATCTTGTTAGGTTGAGATATCGCTTTGTTTGGAAATTGTTTGTTTGGAGACAAGCAAACGTCTAAGTAAGGGGGAGTGATTCGAGTCCAATTGTACAAATTTTATCCCCATTTTCCATAGACGTTTGATGCATTTGTACTCCGTGAGGTGGTTTTACGCTAGGTTGCACTTTGATTTAGTATGTTCAGATCCTAGCAAGTGAAACTAACACCGAAATCGAATGTGGGACGAAAAGGAGCCAAAACGAGTCAAAGGGTGGAAGCAGCTGAGGATCACGACAGAAGCTGAGTTTCCACCGTCATATGGACCGTGAAAAGGGCACCCAGACCGTGAAGCGAATTGCGCACCTCACGGGAGTCCAACCAATTCAAAGTCGCTAAGACCGTGAACCAAAGCCCCAGATCGTGAAGCGCCAAGAGTCCAGAAGCACTTTGCGCACCTCACTGGATCCCAGTCAGTTCACGGTCGCTAAGACCGTGAATTCAAGCCCCAGACCGTGCACAGACTAAGTGAAACGATGCAGATTTGCTCGACATCACTGTCTAGGAAGAATGTTCACGATCGTGAAGTGACTTCGACGTGGGTATAAAAGGAGGGCTGAGCTGAAGGAAAAGGGGAGATACCTAGGGTGAGAAACTTCTTCTTCAGCTTGCTAGAGAGAGAAACTAACGAACCAAAGAAATGAAGAGGTTAGGGTTTCAACTCCAAGCAAGGTTTTGGGAATTTCTTCCCCAAAGGAGGATCTCTACACCACTAGGAGCAATGCTAGCATCTCCAAGATGGGTTTCCTTCTTCTCCCTTGTGTTTCCTCCTCACCTAGCATGGAGTAATTTCTCTTTTCACTTGGGTGTGCGTAAACCCTAGCTACAATGATGCGAATGTTTGTATGGATTGAATGATTAGTGTGTGGTTGTGTTTTAATACAAAGTTATAAGGTATTTTCATGAAGATTGATTGTGTTTGTGCATTTCAATGTTTATGCTATTTTAACCTAGGTAGAGAGAAATCACCTTTGAGCATATGCTTGTAAAAGCTGGATTTCCTTGGTTAATTTTTGTCTCCTACATCGGTTAAACTAGGACAAACCTCTTAATTCGTATTAGCACCTAGGGTTGGTTTTTGGTCATCCGAACTCCAATTCGAGGGTGAAGTCTAGGCAACCCTTCATTGATAGGCCAAGAGAGCTACTTTGATAGCTTGATTCGGAACCCCTTGGCCTATTGACCGAGAAAGTGGCGTTTGTTCACTAGTAGGACTTCTCAACGGTTTACAACCGCCTATACTACACCTATGCATTCGATCCGTCAAGTCATTATCGTTAGCTAGGGGGAGCAACACTCGGGTGAAGCCTTCTCAATTAGTGTCCAATCCATTTACTTTTCTAAATATTTTAGTTATAGATCGTGTTTTCACCAAAAACAATTGCTAGATAATGTTTCAAACAATTGAATTAGGGGTATATGGTTCGACACGGGTTGATATTTAAACATACTTTCCCTACATTGCACCCAGTTAAGGTTTATACTTGGGCCTTCATTGGGATTTTTATTGTGGTATTCGCGATGAGTCACTAAACTCTTTTTGTGTACATAACTTAAATTAGAGTATTGATTTCTTCACTATCCTATGTTGACAAACAATCATTTTTATTTTAATTGTGTTAAGGTACAGACTCTTTTGCAAGGATTGTAAAACTGTACCGGAAATTCAGCAGTATGGTATCTTATGCTGAAATCGTGATTCAATCGTGTTTCGGCGTTTCATATAGTTAAACAGATTCTACTAGGTTTAGCATCTGGTAGGAGATTTTATGATCGAATCACCATACGTTATCATTTTTTAATCATTGTTCTTTTGTCTTAGTAACTATGACAACACTGAATTTTGCACATGTTTTTACCCCTCATTTTTTTATTATTTAGCTTGGTTTTTATCATACTTTGGCCTATTATACGCAAGGTTGTGTTCCTTTTTCACATTTCAGGTTCTAGAATTTAAAGTGAAGCATAGGCACAAGTTTCAAGTCAATCGGAGATCAATTGGCGACTCGGAGGAAGAAACTCGGGTATGACCCAAGGAAGAATGGATTTATATCTCAT